AAAGGATGACTAAAAGATCTATAGGAAAGTCGAAGAGTGATATAGGCGCAATCAACAAAAGAAAAGAAAGGAAAAACAAGTTGGAATGGCAATAAAGGCAAATGAGGCTACAACAATTCAACTGGTCGAAATCAACAAGAAGGAAACTGGTCAAATCAGAGTAAATCCTAGAACCAAGGAAACTAAAGAGGTGGTGCTGCAGGTAGAGGAATGGGTGATGGTTGAAAACCTGACAAAAATCACATTCAGTGTTACAATTGTCAGAAGTATGGTCACAATTTTAGTAATTGTCCTGAAAAGCGGAAGAATCAAGAAATTGATGTCAAGCTAACGAAACATGATGAAGAAGATATGTTGCTGATGGTCACAACAAGAGATGAAGAAAGATTCCAGGACCAATGATACTTGGACTCAGGATGCTCATCACACATGACTGGTAGGAATGATTAGTTTGTTAACATAAAGCCCTTAATGAAGAATATGGTGAAATTTGAAAATGACAATACTGTAGCAGCTAAAGGTATCAGGGATGTTCTAATCATGAGGAAAGATGGAAAAAGATCAGTAATTTCTAATGTGTTATACATACTAGGCATGAAGATGAATTTGCTCAGTATCATACAATTGGTCGAAAAGAACGATAATGTGTCGATTGAAAACAAGATGATGAGAGTTCTCAACTCAAATGGAAGGTTGATCTTGAAGGCTCCAATGTCTCAGAATAGAACATTCAAGATTGAGCTTAATGTGATGGAGCATAAGTGCCTTGCAACTGCAGCTAGCAGGGATGAAGGGACATGGCACTATAGACTTGGCCATTTCAACTTTAAAGACATCAGAGATCTGAAGAGAAGAAATACGGTTTCATGATTACCAGAAATCGACATTATAAATGAAGTGTGTGAAGAATGTGTGTCGGTAAAGAAACACAAGAATAGCTTCAGCGAGGATGCAGGAAACAAGTCAAAGGAAATTCTTGATGTCATATACTCTTATGTATATGGTCCTATCCAGGTGGATACAATTAGAGGTAACAGATGTTTTTTCATTTTCATAGATGATTTCAGCCAAAAATTATGGACTTACCTGATCAATAAAAAAGGGGAAGTGATCGAGGTATTTGCCAAGTTTAAATCTATGTTCGAAAGACAAAGTGGTCAAAAGCTACAGATTCTGAGGACTGATGGTGCTGGAGAGTACGTGTCAAAAGATTTTGATACATTATGTGAGAAAGAAGGGATTGTGCACAAGGTGATGCCACCTTACACTCCACAGCAGAATGGAACTGTAAAACAGAATAATGGAACCATCATGAATATGGTGATGTTCGCCGTGAAATTTGGAGAACAACCGCTGATCTAACAAATCTTAAAGACTCGTTTTAACTTGCAGGATCAACCACACTAAATCCTAGGACATAAATAATCTGAGTTTAAAATCAAATGAAATTTAAAAGAGAAGGATAGACACTTCGAGAATATTGAAAACAATAAAAAAGGTTTTGATAATAAAGCAAGTAGAAAATGAAAGCAGTTTGGGGCAAAGAGGATAGCAATTCGAAGCAAAGGGTAAAGACCAGAAAATATAACTCGCATAAAAGCAGTAAAGTAAAGGAAGATTCTTATACAAGAAAAGAAAAACTCTAATGCATTAAAATAAAAGATGGTGTTTCAACACGTACATTCTTAGATATAACTCTTTTCTCTCTTTGACTTGGATACTTTGAGCAATTTTCTGAGTGACTTGTACAAAATGAACACACTCATAAAATCCTAAATCGAGCCACTATTTATAACCAGTCAAAATAACCGCTCCTAATGACTCAATGGAATATATTAAAACAAATGTCATTCTGCATGCTTTGATTACTTGAAATAGTGCCACATGCCTCCTTCTAATGGTAGGAAATAACTTCATTTCCCTCCGGAATTCAAATTCAAACTTCAAAGATTCTTGTATGTCGAATCGTCAGTTTTCTGGTCAAAATCCTCGTAACAAAACCATAGTCAAAAGCGTTGCTTTAACTCATAAACCTAACATTTCCACCTGAGCGTCGAAATTCAAGGCTAACAGGTCAGAAGTATGTTGAAAGGAAAGCATCTATCAAAAGAATTATAGAGAGAAGTTGTGTCGACTGCTATATACATCTTGAACAGATATCCGAAAAAAAGTCTAGAGGGAATTACACCAGAAGAGTGTCAATCTTGTGTTCGGGCTAACCTAATTCATTTGAAGGTGTTTGGGTCTATAGCACATAGATATGTGCTAGATCATTTGAGAAGAAAACTTGATGACAAGTCGAGTCAAATGGTTTTGATAGGATATCATTCGACTGAAGGATACAAATTGTTCGACCTAGTGAACAAGCAAGTAGTGATCAATAGGGATGTGATCATAGATGAGTTTAAAGAATGGTATTGGACTGATAATGTTAAGAAGGATTCAGTAAGAATCTTATATGAAGAACTAGCTAGCGGAGTCGAAAGAGAAATTCAACAAGAAGAAGTCAGAGTTGAAGCAGGCCCAAGCAAACCTCAATGAAAAAGACACATGCCTGTAAGGTTGCAAGAATGTGTGATTACATTAAATGATATGGTCAATGAAGAAGGTGAGTTGGTACACTATTCTTTTTATGCAGATGTCGAACCACTCAATGCAGTTGAAGCATTGAAGCATTCAAAATGGAAGAAAGCAATGAAAGAGGAACTAGAGTCCATTGAAGTCAACAAGACTTGGTGACTTGTCTAATTTACTCAAGGCAAGAAGACAATGGATGTGAAGTGGGTATACAAGGTAAAATTGAATAACAAAAGAGAAGTAACTTGACACAAGGCAAGACTTGAGGCAAAAGGATTTCTTCAAAAAGAAGGAATCGACTTCGACGAAGTTTTTGCACTTGTTGCAAGGATCGAAACAATCAGGTTGATTGTTGGTCTAGCAAACATGAACAATTGGCACATATGTCAGATGAATGTAAAATACGAATTCCAGAATGACCCCTTAGATGAAGAAGTTTATGTTGTACAACCAGCTGGATTTGTGAACTAAGGCGAAGAAAGCAAGGTATACAGGATGCATAAAGCCCTGTATAGACATAAGAAAACTCTAAAAGCTTGGAATAAGAAGATAGATAAAGGGAGAAGGAATTTGGGAAGTGCATAATTGAGCATGGAGTATATGTAAGAAAAATCAAGACTGAATTGTTAATACTATGTCTCTATATCGATGGCTTGTTGATAAAAGACACCTGCGAGAAAGAGATTGAAGACTTCAAAGGTGATCTTAGCAAGGAGTTTGAAATGTCTGATCTGGGTGATATTTCATATTTTTTTGGCATCGAATTCTACAAGAGTAGTAGAGGTTTAATGATGCATCAAGAAGATATACAAGTGAAATTCTCAAAAGATTTGAGATGGAAGAATGCAACTCGACTTTGATACCTGCTGAACTAAGACTACAACTGTCGAAAGATTCAGATTCAGATGATGTCACAACCCAATATAGAAGACTTATTGGGTCACTAAGATACCTTTGTCACACAAGACCTGACCTAACATATATTGTAGGTTTGGTAAGTAGATTCATGTAGAGGCAAAGGTATCACACCTAACAACGGTGAAGAGGATACTAAGGTATCTGAAAGAAACTTTTGACTATGGGATTTTGTTTCCTGTAGTTGATGAAGAAAAAAATGAAAATTAGTGGGATACATCGACTCAAGTTGGTGTAGTAATGATGAGGATAAAAAAATTCACATGTGGCTATGTGTTTATGCTAGGTGGTGCACCAATTGCTTGGAGTTTGAGAAAGGAGTCAATAGTGACATTGTCGTCGTGTGAAGCAGAGTACTTAGTTGCTTTTCTCTGTGCATGTCAAGCAAAGTGGACGGTGAACCTGGTCAAAGAGATTACATTGAAGAGTCATGGAACATTTACCATGAAGATCAACAACATGTTCGCTATCAATCTAGTGAAGAATCCGATAGCACATGGATGAATCAAACACATCAAAATGAAATTCCACTATCTTCGTGAGCAGGTAGCAGAAGGAAAGATGAACTTAGATCACTTTAGAACTAAGAATCATATTTTAAATATCATGACAAAGATAGTGCAGGTCGAAGTGTTCATTGCTCGACAGGATTTCGACTTCAGCCTATTTTCGTACAAATACGTTTTTCACCACAGAATTTTGAAATTACAAAGTGACAGAATTTTGAAATTACAAAGTGAATAAGTTTTTCACAATTTGTGGGCAGAGAGTTACTATACAAAAATCACAATTTTCTTCTATATTTTATCAAACCCTAATTTTCTTTCTTCTACAATTTTTCTTTCTTTTTATTGTTATTATGTATCGATAATAATCTTGTTCATCAAAATTGAAAGTGATTCTCTTCCGACACTTATCATGCTCAATTGTCTTCCAACAACTTCTTAACACTTAGAATTCCCATATTTACCATTTTTATATCACATGATGAACAATTTATGGAATAATGCATGAATCCCTTCATGTCCAAGTAGAAAATTACAATTTTTCTTCAAAGGACTAGAATAAACATTCAGGAAAAGTTACTATTCTAACTTTAAATTTTAAAGAAACGAATCAAATTTATACCATTTAAGAAGGCTATTAGAATGTTTGGATGATTTTTATACAGTATATGATATACAAATAATAATAATGGATAGAATAGTAAATAAATTAAGAAATTAAAAATAAAATTGTGGCATAAAAGGCTGACGTCGCAACTTCACTGAACCTTTTTATTAAGAGAATTTCTGATTAAAAAATTTCTCATCAAAACCATAAATAAACTGCTCAAGAAAACCATAAATTGAATATTTCGTTAACAAAAAAACAACTACAAATAATAGAAGAATTCCAACAAAAAATCAAGATTTACATCCCTTTCAACACAATTATGAATCTCTTCAAAGTTCAGGACTTTCACTCGGTGATGGAGGTGCAACAAATTCTATGATAATAGAATCAATCTAATAACCTTCGACTATATCATCATAATCAAGATTATCAAAATCCTCATAATAATAATAATCAAAATAATAATGACGAGAATATTCATCCCAGTCCTTGTCATCGCAAATTGGCAATAGTAAAACCTTAATCTGCTCAAGGCATCTTTTCTTCAAATCTTCAGTCAAACTGAGATTGTAACATCTTTGAATGTCAAGATACTCAAGAAGAGTACATTTGTCAAGAATGGAAACAAGCCCAACCTTAGTGAGACTGTTTCCTTGAATATCAAGATGACTTAATCCAGTCATTGTTTCAGAAATAACACGAGCCTCATTATCAGCAACACCGCGATTTAGAGACCCAAATCTCTTAAATATTAGGGATTTTAGAAGAGGACAAGATCGGCCAAGGACTTCAAGAGAATCCTTAGATAGCTTACAATATGAGATGTCCAACTTCTCTAACTGTGAAAATTTTTTCACAGCTTCACTAAATCCTTTATCAGAAATACTAGCGCAATTTAGGAGCCTCATCGTTCGTAGGTTATAAGCACTGTAAATTTTGAACCAAAATTCATTAAAAAAGGATTTATAAAATAACAAAGATATACATTATATATAAAATCATCAATACACAACAAAACATCTAACAAAACATCTGAGAAAAACTAATTAAAAATATATTAACAGGTGTAAGCAAGAAAAGTGATAGATAATAATAATTACTTTTCAGCTATACTTTCAAGGAGATCATCAGTGCAAAAGTACTCAATATTAATGTCTATCAGATGACCGCAGCTTCGATCAACAGCATAACGACAAACCTTCTGATACTCTGAATGATTTTTATAGAATGGACCCAAAATTCTTACATAATCAGTATAATTGTTGTGGGATAAACTTTTTAAATAGGTAATGTGAATGGTGTGCCACATGAGAGGATCCTTGCAAATGTTCCACCATAGAGGGCAGACAAGGCACGCACTAGTGACAACTTCCACTGTACCAAGCATCTGTAGGATGTTACTCGTGATGTCCCTTGGAAGATCAAGCCAGTTTGGCAGCATTGTAGACTCAACTTCTGCTTCCTTTGCAGCAATAGAACATGATGCCATTTTTGTAAGCAGACAACTGGTTGCATGAACTTTTCACCTAGTTGGAACCTTTTATAGTACATGAACCGCGGTCGCGCGCGGATCAAAACCGAGTGATTTTAATTAAATGTAGTAAAAGCGACGGTAACTCGGATGTCCATTCACAAGGATTCTTATTTTTCAAATTGAGACGAATTGAGAAGAAATAAACAATAGAAAGCAAGAAAGAAATTAGGAAAATAAAACTAGGGTTCTAATTTGCAACTTTATAAATACTCAACTGGGCCAGAAACCTAAATCAGGACCGAAAGGAAAAACTACATTATCACAAGTCAGAAACCTAAATCAGGCCCGAAAGGAAAAACTACATTATCACAAGTCAGAAACTTCAAAGAATTATTCGAGCAATCCGAATCAGTTTCTTCGCGCAATATGAAAGTTGTAGATCTTTTTCTTAACTTTCCAACCACCGGTAGAACGCCTCAATCCTCTTCCTATAGCTCAAATTATGAATTTTTTATTAAAAGCTGCTAATGCTGAAAAATAACAAACAAAAATTAAATAAAATTGAAAATAAATTAAATTGTAAAAATATTATAAAATAGGAAATTAAACAAACTAAACTATAAAAATTTCTAAGTTTAAACATATATATATATATATATATATATATATATATATATATATATATATATATATATATATATATATATATATATATATATATATATATATATATATATATATATATAAATGCATTAAAATGCACTGATCACTGTCGGTGATAATTGTAATGGTTTTAAAAGTGAATCATAGCTTCCAATAATCACTAACTCCAACGGTGGTTTTTCAAATTGGTTTGCCAGCTTGGCATTCAAAATGTCAACAAAATGTTATTCCAGCTGTAGAACGTTACAAACATAAGCAACGGTTCTTCATTTGGTTTATTATTAAAATAATCATTTAGCTTTATTTTATTTTTTTAACTTTTTTTATTTATTATAAATATAGGTTTGTTGGAAAAAATTTATATCATTCCTATTTTCTCTCCTTTTTATTCCTATTTTCTCTCCTTTTTATTTGCTCTTTAATTTCAAATTTCTCTCTCACAATTTCATCATTTTTTTCATAAATATTTAATTTTTTTCCAACAATTTCTTCTCATTATCATTTTATTTCAAATTTTCATCTTTTTATTTCAAATTACATTTGTTTAGGCCAAATTTTCATCTTTTTATTTCAAATTACATTTGTTTATGTGATGTTATTTATTTTTATTGTTTTTAATTATGTGATGTTATTTATTTTTATTGTTTTTAATTATGTGACATGTATTTAAATTTAATTTTAATTATTATTTTCAATTTTATGTTTAATTTTAATTTTATGTTTAATTTGTATTTATATTAATTAAAATTTAAATATTTAAATTATAATTTTAAATAAAATAAATTTAATATAAATAATATATTTTAAATAAAGTGGTGGGACCCAATATGGGTTCTTTGAAGTTGCACCATTGGAGTAAAAATTAAATGAGTTGCTTTAAAAGAGTGGGTCCCACAAAGAACCCAAAAATGGGTTGCACCATTGGAGGTGCTCGAATCATCATAAGAATCATAATAGTAATACAAACAATCCTCTACACAATAATAATCAGAATATTCATCCAAGTCATCACTGATATCAGGGATTGACAATATTACAAACATAATCTGCTCAAGACATCTTTTCTTCAAATCTTCAGTCAAATTGAGATGGTAACATTCTTGAATATTAAGATACTCGAGAAGAGGACATTTATCAAGAATAGAAAGAAGCCCGACATTAGAGAGCCTGCTTCCTTTAATATCAAGATGACATAGTCCAGTCATTGTGTCAGAAATAACAAGAGCCTTATTATCATCAGCACTCGAACGTACATAACCATATGTCTTAAATATTAAAGATTTTAGAAGAGGACAAGATCGGCCAAGAACTTCAAGAGAATCCTAAGATATCTTACAATATGAGATGTCCAACTTCTCTAACTATGAAAATTTTCTCACGGCTTCACTAAATCCTTTGTCCGAAATGCTAAAACAATTTAAAAGCCAGATGGTTCGTAGGTTACTTGCACTGTAAATTTTGAATCAAAATTCATTAAAAAAGATTGATAAAATAACAAAATATATACACATTAGATATACATTATATATTAAAGCATCAATAAGCAACAAAACATCTGAGATAAAAAGAATCACAAATAACAAAAATTATTAACATGAGCAAGCAAGAAAAATAATGTATAACAATAATTACTTTTCAGCTATGCATTCAAGGAGTTCATCGGTGCAAAAGCACTCAATATTAATGTCTTTCAGATGACCGCAGCTTCGTTCAACAGCATAACGACAAACCTTCAAATACTCCGAATGATTTTTGTAGAAAACACTTCTAAAATAAGTCATGTGAACGGTGTGCCACATGAGAGGATCCTTGCAAATATCCCACCATAGAGGGCAGAAAAGGCACGCACTAGTGACAATTTCCTTTGTACCAAGCCTCTGAAGGATGTTACTTGTGATGTCTCTTGGAAGATCAAGCCAGTTTGGCAGCATTGTGGAATCAGCTTCTGCTTCCTTTACAACACAAGAACAAGATGCCAGTTTTATAAGCAGAAAAATGGTTGCATGAACTTTTCACTTAGTTATACCCTTTTATATTACACTAGCAGTGGTAAACGTTTTAAAAGTAAATCATAGTTTCCAATAAACTTTGGATAAAGATAAATAATGATGCATGTGCCTAAATAAACACTAAGAGGGGTACTTAAACATTTTGAATGAGAACACAGGAATAAGAATAAAAGTTGTTATGTTTCCAATGATATAATAAATTTGATCGGTTCCAATGATATAATAAAGATGCCTAAAGTATGATAAATTAATGCGTACTATTCAATTAGATTGTATTTGTTACTTATCTAATTTAATTTAAAATTAAGAGTCAGAATCTGTTTGATAAGACTAAAAACAATAACTTTTAAATTTTCAGTCCATTTTAATTAAATAAATTTGTTTGTTAATGACTTTTAGCTTTTAACTTATAATTTTCTAACTAACTTTTAGTTTTTTTTTAAAAACTATTTAAAATAGTTTTTGAGCTTGTACCTTTTAACTTATAATTTTTTATTCTAATTATATCTTTATTATTTTAAATATATATATATATATATATATATATATATATATATATATATATATATATATATATATATATATATATATATATATATTTACTATTAAAAAATTGATTTTAAAATATTGAATTTAGAGAAATTTTAAAGAATGTTATAGAAGATTTTTTCTATTTTTCTCTACTTTATTAGAAATTATTTTTATTTATTAAATAGAAATTATATAATTAATTTAGAAATAGTGTTTATAATTCTCAAATTAGGAGAGACAATGAAATCAATAAATGTGAATTTTTTTTTAATATTATTACAGTATTATTGTAAAATATTAGACAATAAACTTATTTTTGTTATTATTTTAGATTAATATAATTAAATTCAAAATTATAATTTTATTATTTCACGGATTTTATTAAATTTGATAATAAAATTAGAAAAAAAAATTATATTTTACAAAAGAATGAGTCAACCGGACCAAAAATTGTAGTTATTAGAATTACTTTTACCTTTATATCCTCATAAATGACTTTATAAAATACCCCTACTTCATGTATGGTTTTCTGGTTCTTTTATTCATTAAATTTTGTTGTCAGTATATTCATACTAAATAACAAAAATCATAAAACTTATATACAAATTTATATATTTTGATGATATCTTCAACTTTTCATATACATTAATATTGAAATTGTTTTGCATGTTATTATTAATACATTTATTTTTATCGAATAAAATTTAATTTAATAATATAATATAATAAGATAATGAAATAACAAATTTCTTAATTAAAAATGTCATTTTAAGTCATTTTGTAATTATCAGCTAGTGTAACGATTAATCTACCAAACAGTCAAATTAATTTATCAGTTATCAGTCATTAGCTATAAGCTATAAACTATTAGCTAACAGCTACCATCTATCAGCTAACAGCTATCAGTTATAAGCTTCTTTTACCAAACAGAGCCTCTGTTTGATAAGACAAAAAAAGAGCTTTTAGTTTTTCAGCTCATTTTGATTAAAAAACTCTGTTTGGTAATTGCTTTTTAACTTTTAGCTTATAGCTTTTTAACTAACTTTTAGTTTTTTTTCCAAAAACTATTTAAAGTAGCTTTTGAGCTTCTAGCTATTAGCTTATGACTTTTTATTTCAATTATACCCTTATTATTTTAAATATATATGTTCCGGTATGGGCCCAACCTCGGCAGGCCCAATACCGCGTGCGACCCAACAAGCGAATCGGGCATGCCGGGCACGTGCATCCCTCAAAACGAGCAGGGCAAGCCGCCGAACACAAGCAACGTCCCAACAACCTCTCATCGTCCACCACACCGGACGAGCAGAACCGTCCCCGGCTCGCCAAAGCGCGTCCCTTGGTTCCTCCCCTCCGCGGGGAGAACAACGCGCTCCAGGGAACCTCCCGAGCTCCCCTCCGCGGGGAGGACAACGTGCCCGGTGCACGTTCTCCACGTGCTCCCCTCCGCGGGGACACGTCATCAACCAACTGCCCACCTCCGAAAGAGCAGGTCAAACCCACTTTCCGGAGATCTAGGAGCAGTTGGACTAGGGCGAAGACCACGCTCTGGTCTTCTCTACGCCACGTAAGCCCTAGCAGTCATTAGGGTTGGGCCTGGTCATCCAGCCCATCTCAAAATGACCGTTGGCCCAGCGTTGGGGTCCCTCTATAAATACCCTCTTCCTCAAGAGGGTCAGGTAACTCTTCTTGCCCCTTTTTCTGTACTATTGCTTCCACTCTGCCCAACTTCTTACTTTGGCATCGGAGTGTCTTGCAGGTACACCCCCTCCTCCTTCTCACCCCGGTGAACAGGTAGCCGTCCAGTAGCGCGTGGCCATATCGTGATCCCCTTCTGATCAGGTCAGATCAGTGGCGCCGTTTGTGGGAACCTGAAACTTCCCCGTTACTCCGAGCAGAAAACCAAAAGTTTCACCAAACCTCCACGGTCATGGCTAGCCCACACCGCGATGACACTCCGCTCGACCTTGCGCTCAACGTCGCCACCAACGGGAAGCAGACAGGAACGGCACGTCCGACGGAAGCCGACGAAAGGGACGGGCAAACCGCTTCACCATCATCCGCGGAACGGCCCCTTCAGGCCGATCACCGCCCCCCGAGCCCGCCAGCATTCCACCCCGTTCCCATCCCGGCGGGAGCAGACCCGACGGTGGCCGCTCTCTTTACGGCCATCAACCAGACGAACCAGCTGTTGTTCCAACAAAATGCGAGAATTGGAGCATTAGAACGCGTCGGCCCTCCGAGGTACCCCCAGCGGGAAGACTAGAACGGAGGTTCGAGGAGTCCCTCACCTCGACCCAGAAACCGCCGACCCCGGCTGGAGAGACACCGCCCGCAGGCGACACGAGAACGCACCAGATCCCCGGCAAGACACGTTCGCGGGAGGAACCAGAACGCCGCGACGATCCCAACCGAGGACCCCCGAGGCGAGAACTCCGGCAGAAGGTCGAGAACTCGAAACCAGGGGCACACCTTGAACGGCTCATCTCCCCACAGATCCCCGGCACACAGCGACGAGGATGATTACCGCACCCCGCTATCCCGGGAGATCATGGCTGCCCCCATACCCCAGGGGATGGAGAAACCACCGACGCTATCGACATACGACGGCACCTCCGACCCGGACGATCACCTGGAAGACATCGAGGCTATGCTCGACTACCGAAACGTCCGGGGAGCTATCAAGTGCAGACTTTTCCCGACGACTCTGAGGAAAGGCGTTATGACCTGGTACAAAAGTCTGGAGCCCGAATCAGTTACGTCGTGGAGGGTCTTGAAGGACCTGTTCTCCAAGCACTTTACGGCGTCCCAACGTCATCCGAAGACGGAAGCAGTCCTCGGGGCAATCATCCAAGGCCCCGACGAACCTCTCCGAAAATACATCGAAAGGTTCACTCGGGAAGCCGTGCAAGTGACAACCTCCGACGAAATGAAACGCTACTTAATGGAACAGGGCCTACGCCACGACTCCAAATTCTACGAGGCCGTAGGCATACACCGGCCCACGTCCTTCCAAGATTTCCTCGACAGAGCCGCGCATTACATCCGATTCGAGGAAACACAAGCGGCCAACTCCGCTCGCGACACTCGAGACAGAGAGGCCCCCCGCGGGCACCGAGACGACGGAGCTTCGAGCCATCGACGAGGAGGAGACCGCCGTCGGGAAGACCGCCCCCGCGAACAACGCGAGCCACGCGGCCCCGCAGGAAGATTCACAGAGTACACAGCCTTGGTCGCTTCGCGCGAACACATACTGGCCGAATGCGCTAAAACCGAGTTCGTTTAGGGAGGTGTCCGATTTCCACGACCAACGCCGCCCAAACCCAACGTGGACAAGTCAAAATACTGCCGATTCCACAGGACCCACGGGCACGTGACAGAAGACTGCATCCATCTCAAAGATGCGATCAAAATTCTAATCAAAGACGGGCACCTGAAGCGATACACCCGAGGAGGTGAACCACCTAGGCCAGAGGCTCCGGAAGCCAAGAAGATCGAGGAACTTCCCTCTCCAGAGGATAGCAGCAGGCTCCAGGTCGCGTTGTGCGTCAGCCGCCCCGAGGATTGGTTCGCGAGCAGAGAATTCGGCATCCCCGAAGGACCCAACCTAGTCGACGAGCCAATCCGACCAACCAGCCGATGGGAATACTTCCCCAGAGCCATGGTCATCTCTGATGGAGCCACGAGGAGTCTATCCATAGGGTCTGTGAAAAGGAAATTCGACGAACTCATCACGAGCAACTCCGGCAAAATGAGCACGCTCGACAAATTCCGAGGTCGCTCCAACCCGATCACATTTTACCTCGAGGAACTACCCGGGGGATCTCCCAATTCCAACATACCCTTGCTCATACGTGCCCGAATGGCAAACTTCGACGTCAGGCGCCTCCTCGTCGACGGCGGGAGCTCGGTTGACATCATGTACTCACATCTGTTCACAACTCTCCAGCTCGACGAATCCAACCTTTCTCCCTACGTAGGCTCCGACCTTCAGGGGTTCAACGGGACGACGACGAGACCTTGGGGATACGTAGAATTGAAAGTCACCTTCGGAGAAGAGGAAACTGCCAGGGACATCAGCGTCCGTTTCTTAGTCATCGAATGCCCGTCCCTCTATAACTGCATCCTGGGCAGGACGACGATAGCAGAACTCACCGCGGTACCCTCCACCGTCCACCTGAAGATGAAGTACTACACGAGAAGGGGAGCCGTGGTAACCCTCAACGGAGACATCGAAGCCGCTCGAAGATGTTTCGAAGCCGCGCTGAAAGGCCTAGACTCCATCGCTCCATCGACCAAAAAGAAAGCATCAAGCGCTACACCAAAGGACAAACCAACAGAGTTGGTCGGATCCGTTGAGCTCGACAGTCGCTTCACCGACGAGCTCGACA